TCACCGGCGTTCGCGCGCGCTGGAGAGTTCTGCATTGTTCAGAATATAAAAGTCAACATTTTATTCCCAAAACTAAATCTGAATTTTTCTGGAGACCTTCAAGGAGGCCGACGGAGGCCGGGTCACCAGCGCTCGCGCGCGCGGGATAATTCTGCATTGTCCAGAATATAGAAGTCGACATATAAGTGCCGCAACTAAAAATGGATTTTTCTGGAGCCTTTTGAGGAGGCCGACGGAGGCCGGGTCACGGCCGTTCTTCGGCCAATGCTCCTCCCGCTTGCGCGGCGGTTAAGTTCGCGCTTCTCCAGGCCGCGCGCTGCTTTGTATAATGAGTACGTTTCTCAGTCCCGCGCGTTAAGCTCCAAGCCCAACGTGCGCGCGGATATTGTGGGGAAGCCGTCTGGCGCTCCAGAAAGCAACATCGCTTGCGGACCCGCGCGTTTGAGACGATGAATCCTTGCACTACGGGAAAGGGGGGCGGTGGCGGAAGCTCCAGCGGCATGGGGGCCCTTTCGCGGCTCGGAAGTGCGCGTCGGCATTCGACAATTCTCCTTGCGGCGCCCGTGGGGCGCGGAGCCCGTTCGGGTGCGTTTCCGGGCTGGTTGCTGGGCAATATACCGCGATCCTTTTTCTTTGTTTCCATTTACAGATGATATTGTATATACATATATATATATAGAGAAAGAGAGAGAGAGAGAGAGAGAGAGAGAGAGAGAGAGAGAGAGAGAGAGAGAGATGTTAGCGCTGCCGTCAATTATGTTAGCCGCGCCCTGGTCTAGCTTCTACCCGTCGCGACTCAAAAGTTTGGCTCGCTACGTGCACGTGCGTGTGTGTGTGCGCGCGTGTGTGTGTGTGTCTGTGTGTGTGTGTGCGCGCGCGTGTGCGCGTGCGTGTTTGCTTCGATTTTGGCGCGCCCGCGCGCGCTTTGGTTACGCAGCGCCGTCTTCAAAGTTGGACGGAAACAAATGTGATTGCGACGCTCTCGAGTGATGTCGCGACAGATGTGCGCATCGCCGTGCAGCGGACGGTTTTTCCCGCGCTCGTAGCGTTTGCGCTTGCGCGGTGGACGCGCTCGCACGTTGAAGCTTGCGTCCCCTCAAGGCGCGCGCTACCCTAGAGAAGCGACTGCTTTCTCACTCGCGTACGCCGCGCGCCAAATCCAACATGTGCGCTGTTTGTTTCGGAAACCCTTTGGGCGTTGTACCAATGAACATCGCCTGGGGTTCCCCGCTTTTGAATCGATGACACATCGCCCCATGGCAAAACATACCTGGCAAAAATCACTGCCCCGTGGAATTCTGAATATTGCAAAGCAGCCGATTGCAAAACAGGCCGTGCAAAAATCAGTGCTCAGCGGAATTTTGAAAATTTCAAGGCGCTTGGTCTGTCAAATTCGTTTTTTTGTGTTTTCATTCCGCGGGTCAGGAAGTTAACAGCCATGGCCTGCGAATGGTCGCTGTAGGAGACCCCCTCACTAACTCTTCCTCCTCCTCCTCCTCCTCCTCCTCCTCCTCCTCCTCCTCTCCTTTCTCCTCCTCCTCCTCCTCCTCCTCCTTCCTCCTCCTCCTCCTCCTCCTCCTCCTCCTCCTCCTCCTCCCCCTCCTCCTTTCTTTTCCTCCCCCTCCCCCTCCTCCTCCTCCTCCTCCTCCTCCTCCGCCTCCTCCTCCTCTCCTCCTCCTCCTCCTCCTCCTCCTCCTCCTCTTCCTCCTCCAAACCCCTCACCCCTCCTTCCTCCCCCTCCCCCTCCTCCTCCTCCTTCTCCTCCTCCTCCTCCTCCTCCTCCTCCTCCTCCTTCCTTTTTCCTTTTTCTCCTCCCTCCTCTCCTTTTCCTCCTCCTCCTTTCTCCTCTCCTCTTCCTCCTCCTCCTCCTCCTCTTCCTCCTCCTCCTCCTTTCTCCCCCTCCCCCTCCTCCTCCTGCTCCTCCTCCTCCTCCTCCTCCTCCTTCTCCTCCTCCTTCCTCCTCCTCCTCCTCCTCCCTCCTCCTCCTCGTCCTCCTCCTCCCATTATCCTCCTTGTTTCCTCCTTCTCCTCCTCCCTCCTCCTCCTCCTGCTCCTCCTCCTCCTCCTCCTCCTCCTCCTCCTCCTCCTCCTCCTCCTCCTCCTCCTCCTCCTCGATTGGAGGTCCAGGCCTACATGGCTGGAGACCCCGCCGGGGGGCCCCCCGAGAGGTCCGCGCGCGAGGCCTCCACAGGCCCTGGGGCCGCACGCGGGACCTCAGTTCCGTTGCCGTGGCGCCCGCGGTCGCCCGCCGGGGCTGGCGGGGGGGCTGCGCTGGCCCGGCACTGGTCTCAAGTCGGGCCTGTCCCTCTACAGGGGGAATATTCAAACATAGATTTAATATATATATATATGTATATATATATGTGTGTATATATATATATGTATATGAATGTGTTGAGTGGATTTTGGCAATTTCGGAGCATTTGTTTTGGATTTTGTATGTTTCGTCGAAGATCCCCCTGGAGGGGGACACGCCCGACTCAACACTGGTCCTGGCCTGCAGGCAAGGGGGAGCGGGTCAGGTTCGAGGTTCTGGGCTCGGGAAGGTTCGTTGTCCTCGTCGGTCTCTGGAGGCCGGGTTCGGGCCTGGGCCGGCAGATACGGATCTGGGGTGAAAAAAGCTGCACCAGATGGGCCCCGGGAGGGGTCCAGGGCCGGATTTCTCGGTGTGTTTGCCCGTGTCCCTCGTCTTGGCCGATGTGTGCTTGTGGCATCGAGCTCAGACCCGGGTGGGCCCTCGCGGTTCGGTCAGGCCCGAGGAGTGTCCCAGGAATCTTGGGCCCAGAGATATCCGGGCGCGATGTTTGCACTGTTGCACTGTTCCGCGGCGTGTTTCTTTTTTTCCGGGGTGGGGGGTCGGGGGTTGATCTGCGTGCGTATGTCTGCGCAGTCTGTGTCTCTGGAGGGGGCGCCCCTGGAGCCCTCGGAGCCCATCCTTCGGCCACCCGGCCCCTGCCACGCGCACCTGGCCTCCCGAAGCTTCGGCCGAGAGCGAGGGGGCGCCAGGGCTGGGGCGCACACAACCGGCGCCCTCCAAGGCCAGTGCAGACCAGCCAGCCGTGGGCACCGACTTCTCCGCCGGAGGGAAGGCGGGCGGGTCGCCCCGCCGGAGGGCGCCGGCTTGGGTGAAGCACTGTGGCGCGGTGGGTCGCGGCGCGGGTGGGTCGCGGCGTGGACGGGTCCCAGGCGAGTCGCGGGTGCGGCGGGCCGCGCGTGGGTCGCGGCGCGGTGCGGGGGGTGACGACGACAACAAGAAACGGCAGACGCAGCATGCACCGCGGCTTCCAACCGGGGACAGCGTAAGACCGCTCGGCCCCCTCCGCTCTGGTCTAGAAGGGGCGCGTGCGTTCCAGGAAGTTCGGCTGCTCCCCGGTCCAAACAAGTTCGGCTGCGCCCTGGTCCAACAAACAATCAGAAGGGCTGCTGTGTAGTGGCGAGGTGTGCGGAGGAGGAGGACGGGGAAGGAGGAGGAGAAAGGAGGAGGAGGAGGAGGAGGAAAGGAGGAGGAGAAGGAGGGGAAGGAGGAGGAGGAAGGGGAAGGAGGAGGATGGGAAAGGAGGAGGAGGAGGAGCAGGAGGAGGAGGAGGAGGAGGAGGAGGAGGAGAAGAACCGAAGAGAAACGACTCGGATCCAGACATGTGGCCCGCGCTGGAGCGAGAACGCCAGTCTCAACGACGGGAGCACATCCCCGATTTCATCGAGCCAGCGGGTACGCAGTTTTTGAAAACGACAAATGGCAGTTTGGGCCATGGGTGCGAAAGAACTGTACCAGAGAGACGCGGGGGGGCACCGCTGCACATTGGCAGGAGAGACAGGAGAGAACGGCACGGTAGGGTGCGGCGGTGACTCAGGCGCGAGCGTTGAAGGCTGAAAGCCGCCAGTGGCCTAGAATCGGCCGACATCGACCGATTCGCGCTATCAGAGCACGCGGTGTGAGAAACCAACGCGCAAGTCGCCACGACACTAGCCTGCCGTAGTACACACACGTAGCGCAGGGGACCCGTCGGGACCTCCCGGTCGCCTGGGGATGGCCGTTGGTCGTCTTGAGCGCGACCGTTCCCGGCTCGAGCTCTCGCGCCCCGCTGTCCGCGAACCGCCTCCAGCTGCCCGCGGCCGGCCCTCGCGGATGCTTTCGGCGGGAGAGAGGCACACGGTCCTGCTCCGGAGCGATGGCTCCGCCGTGGCCTGCGGCGAGAATGACGAGGGCCAGTGCGAGCTCCCGGCGCTGCCCGCGGGCCGCACCTACACGCAGGTCGCCGCTGGAGAGAGGCACACGGTCCTGCTCCAGAGCGATGGCTCCGCCGTGGCCTGCGGCTGGAATGATGAGGGCCAGTGCGAGCTCCTGGCGCTGCCCGCGGGCCTCACCTACACGCAGGTCGCCGCTGGAGGGGATCACACGGTCCTGCTCCGGAGCGATGGCTCCGCCGTGGCCTGCGGCTGGAATGCTTACGGCCAGTGCGAGCTCCCGGCGCTGCCCGCGGGCCTCACCTACACGCAGGTCGCCGCTGGAGAGAGGCACACGGTCCTGCTCCAGAGCGATGGCTCCGCCGTGGCCTGCGGCTGGAATGGCAGCGGCCAGTGCGAGCTCCCGGCGCTGCCTGCGGGCCTCACCTACACGCAGGTCGCCGCTGGAGAGAGTCACACGGTCCTGCTCCAGAGCGATGGCTCCGCCGTGGCCTGCGGCTGGAATGGCAACGGCCAGTGCGCCCTCCCGGCGCTGCCCGCTGGCCTCACCTACACGCAGGTCGCCGCTGGAGGGAGGCACACGGTCCTGCTCCGGAGCGATGGCTCCGCCGTGGCCTGCGGCTGGAATGATTACGGCCAGTGCGCCCTCCCAGCGCTGCCCGCGGGCCTCACCTACACGCAGGTCGCCGCTGAAGAGAGGCACACGGTCTTGCTCAAGAGCGATGGCTCCGCCGTGGCCTGCGGCTGGAATAATGAGGGCCAGTGCGAGCTCCCGGCGCTGCCTGCGGGCCTCACCTACATGGCCCACCTGTTGCCGGGGATGCTCCTCCAGGCGTCGCTGGACGGCGACACGATGCGCTTCATGACCTTTGGCGGGGCGGAGCGCTCCAGGTCCTGGGCCGGGCCTGGCGCTCGCCTCGCGGACATCTACGAGCAGCTGCTGGCCGACCACTGCGCGGGCAGACTGGGGCCCGGAGCCTGGCGGGTGGACGCCGTCCTGCCGGGCGGCCGGTTGCTGAGCAGCGCGGCGGCCGAGGAAACTGTCGCCGAGGCCTTGGAGCTTCCCCGTGCCACGTAGCAATACAGAGAGACACTCCGATTCTGGGGCGGCGCGAGGTTGCGAAGATGGCCGCGCGTCGCACGTCGCGCGGCGCGGGGCGCGAGGGTGGGTGGCCCAGGCGGGGCGAGGAGCCCCGCGAGATCTCCTTTCTTATTGCGCGCGTGGTTGTTGCCCCGCCTGCCCCTCATCCTCACGGCCTTCTCTTCCGAACCCTTCCAACTCCTCCTTCCTCCCCCTCCTCCTCCTCCTTCCTCCCCCTCCTCCTCCTCCTCCTCGTTCCTCCTCCTCAAACTCCTCGCCCCAAGACGGCCCGAGACGCCTCCAAGACGGCCCCAGAGGGGTCCAGACGAGGGGCCCGAACGGACATTTCGAGCCCAGGGCCCCGAGAGGCTCCCAGGGAGCCCCCAGAAGCCCCAAGAGGTCCCCAAGAGGCCCCAAGAGTCTTCCACGAGGCCTCCGCGACGCCCCCAAGAGGCTCCCAAGAGGGGCAACATGAAATAATTCAAGCCCACGAGTGGCCCTGAGTAAACCTCACAAAGCCCCCGAGAGACCGCCCTCCCCCCAAGGATCCTTAGGGAGTCACTTTCTGGGTCCACACCTGTGCCCCCAAAAGGCCGGCGGCGCGCCGACAGAGGGGGGTTCGGCGGCACACGCGATCTGGCCTGGAGCGCCGGCTGCTCCCCAGCGGCGGCCTCTCCTCCTCTGGTCCCCCACTGCATCCTCCTGTCACTTCGTGGGCTCCTCCCTCCTCCCTCCTGTACCCCTCCGAATTCTAATATCCCCCTTCCCCCACACGGTGGCTGCAAGTGCTGCAGCACCACTCCTTCACGGCATGGTCATTTGGCTTTCGCCTCTGCGTTTCATAACCTTGCTTTGTGCTCGGATCTTTGTTGCGCCTGCAGTGACAAGTGATTTCGCTTTGTGCAGCGTCTCATTTTTCCGAGGCTTCCGGAGCACTATGCATTTAGCTGCTGCTCTATCGAGCACCAGGCTTCACCGCAGCCATAGTCACCTAGTTTTGCATTCGTGTCTCCTTGGGCCTGTGCTCCATCGGGAGCGGCTGCAGTGCCAGGCTCGCGCCTCGGGCAGTCGAGCCTACTTGGAGGTCCATGGGTCCCTCCTGCTCCATACCTCCTCTTAGCCCCGTCCTTTCTTCTAAGTGCAACCTTGGCGGTGCACGGTACACTGCGAGGCTGGTGCCATGAGTTGTTGTTCTGCCAGTGGCTCACATACTCTACGCGCGTGTTGCCTCTGGGTTGGCCATTGTGTCTCCTCTGTCCGAGTGCTTTTTTGTAGGACTGCAGCTTGCCAGCCCGCGCCGTTACAGTGACAGTTATGACTTAGTGCGGTGCCCTGAGTAAGCTGGGAGGTTTTACATGCTACCCATGCATGTATCGTTTATGTTATGTGCATTCGTTTTCTCCGCCACGCCTGATGCACATAATCCTTGCGGTGATGGGTAAACCGCCATTTGGGCTACACTGTTGTGCACTTCTGGAGGAAGAGGATTCGACGCGTTGAGGACCCCTGCTGACGAGCACGCGTCCATGGAGTATTGCTTGCAGGTTGCAGGCGTAAGGACCACCCCTGTTTCATGCCCCCCCCCTGCCTCTCCCGTCTCACTCCGCATAGTGGAACAAACATTGCTCACTCGTTGTACATACTCTCCCCTCCGCACAGTGGCACAAAGCTTGTCCACTCGTTGTGTATATATCCCTCACGCGTCTGCCATGCACGGCTGCGTGTTTGCGTGTTTACAGGCGTTGTCAGAGTTCCGAAGATTGTTTCACGGGAGTGTTCTGCAGATTCCCATATATGAGTCCCTCAATAGTTTTGAGGCCCCGGTCTATAGCTACCCCCAGACTACATGTATCCCCCCCAGACCTACAGGTACGCGGTTCGGAGGCATGAGGTCCTTGGATAGTCAATGGCGAGCCGCAGCGCATCCAATGATTGGAACGCAAAGAAGTGCGAGCGCGCCTGGCAGGCCTGGCCTTACGGTACACGGGGGGGAGGGGGAGATATACAACGAGGATGACCAGGCTCGAGGGGACGTGTATTCTTGCTTTAGTGTTAGCGGATACAAGAGCTTCTTCCGCGCTGGTCGGCCGAATCTCGTTGGCGTCGTCGTCGTCGCCTTCGGCAAACACACGTGCAAACGCACACTGCAGTGCTTCTCGCGCAATTCGCAACATTTGTTCTCTTCTAAGACTTGCTTGTGCTGGCGTGCGGACGCACACGGAAGTGCTCTTCACTGCTTGGCGCCCCTACCGCTTTTCTGACACGGAGAGTTGGAGTATCTGCAAAAACGTCGTCGTCGTCGTCGTCGTTGTCGTTCAGGGTCGGCGGCACTGCCCGTAAGGCCTCTCTAGACTCAGATGGGCAGTGGGCTTCCAGGACGGTTCAAGATGGTATCGAAGATGCTTGCGGCGAATCACCGCCGCCCTTTGCCTTGTGGGAAGCGCCTTTATGGCCAAACATTGGGCCCCAGCTTAGCGAGGCTATCAGACTATATGTTCACCAGCAGCTCTACAAACTCATCGGGGAACACTTTGGGGGGGGAAGAGGTGGAGGATCAGGAGAGGGAGAAGGAGGAAGAGGAGGAGGAGGAGGAGGAGGAGGAGGAGGAGGAGGAGGAGGCCTCTTGGTGCACTCTTGGGGCCTCATTTGAGCTTCCTGGGGGCCTCTTGGAGGCCTCTTGTGGGCCTCCTTGGCCTCTTGGGGAGCTTAAGGGGCGTTTCGGGAGGGTCTTTGGCCGCCGTGGGGCGTTCCTGGCCCGTCTGCTGCCGTCGGAAGCCGCTATGGGCGCCTCTCTGAACTGATTTGGGGCCCTCTTGGAGCGATTCGGGGCCGCCATCTCGGACTCTCGTGGGGCCCTTGGGCTCCACGAGTTCGCTCCAGGACGGCCCCACGGCGGCCGAAGGCCGCCCCACGGGGCCCAATGTGGCCTCCAGACAGCCCCAAGCGGCTCCCCAGGCCCTCACACGCGGCCCCAGCAGGCCCCAGCATGTCCCCCAAGGGCCCCACGAGAGTCCGAGATGGCGTCCAGCAGCGCGAGCATGGCCCCGCCATTGGGGCCATCTTGAGCGTCTTGGAGCCGTCTCGCGGCCGTCTCCTGGGCCGTCATGCGGACTCTTGGGCCGCCAGAAGGCCGTCAGAAGGCCGAAATGCGGCAAATGCCCAAATCCTTAGAGACCGTCGGAAAATACATGATTTGGGCCTCCTTGGGCCTTCCAGGAGGACCTCTTGGAGGCCTCGTGGGCCATCTTTGAGACCTCTTAGGGACCTGTTTGGCCGTGTTGGGCAATTGTGAGGCCAGCTTGGGCTGTCTCAAACGCATCTTCGCCCGTCTTGGAGACATCCTGAGCTCTCTTGGTGGTTTTTTAGCCGTCTCGGAGCCCATTCTGGCCGTCTTAGAGGCGTCTTGGGACCATCTTGGAGGCCATCTTGGAGGCCATCTGGGCCGTCTTGGAGCCGAGGGGGCCAATGGAGAGCGAAATTCGTGGGCTCCTCGGGTGGCCGGCGGGTTGGGCCGAAGCCCCGGTAGGCGTTCCAAAAGAAACGAACAGCACTTGACATTTAGCACGCCGGGCACCCCTGTTGCAAGCCACAGTAAAAAGAGGAGGGCCAACCAAAGAGAACTGTATAATAATAATACTATATATATATATATATATATATATATATAGATCGAATGGCCTTCGGCACATTTCGCCGCCGGGCTTGGGCTGCGGGTCAGAGTCCTCATGGGTGCTTCTTGGGGTCTCTTCTGAGGTCTCTCCGGGGCCTTTTGGGGGGTAGTTTTGACCCCGAAAACCTCAATCATTCAAGAATGAATGGGAAACCGTACTTTTTTAAAAGAATTCGCCTGTTCATTGCCGATGTGCCTCGGAGGCCTGTGGATGGGCCCCAAAACACCCGGAACGGACCCACGAGCAGCCCCAGACGCTCCCCAAGATGATTCCCCAAAGGCCCCGAGACCCCCAAATTCTTAAAAAACCGATGGAAACCGTACATGTTCGAAGAACTCGCCTTGTCACTGCCAATGGACTTCGGAGCGCTAAAGAGCTTCCCAAGACATATCCACAACGGCCCTGAATGGCCGCAATACGGCTCCGCTTTTTCCCTGCCGATGGGCCTCCGAGGCTGCTGGAAGGCGTCAAAACGCCTTACAGAGCCACCTCAGTCAGAGACCCCCAGGACAGCTCCAAGAGCGCTCGGAGGCCTCCCGAGAGCAGCCCGAGACCGCCCCAGCTGGTCTGAAGATTGGCTTCGGGACGTGAAGATTGCCCCAGAGGGATTCCAGACGGCTCAAGAGGTGCCCAATAGGGCCACAAGCGAGCCCCAACAGTAGAGGGTCCCAGGAAAGAGAGAGAGAACTCGAATTGAGATTTCGAGCCATCCGCCCCAAGGAGACCCTCGAGATCGCCTTCAGGCGCCAAGAGGCCCAAAAGAGGCCCCCAAACGACCCCCATTATGTCAAGACTGCCTCCAGCAGGCTCCCCTGAGGCTTCCCCAGAAATCCCAACAGGCATCCAAGAGACCTCTGCATCACAACCCAAGCGCTGTGGCGGAATGGGCTGGATGCCAACAGGCCAGTATCGCGCCCTATGTGGATTCTCGAGTCTGGCACCACGCGTTTCGGTGGTTCGATGCCCAAAGTCCCGTCCTCGGCGCATAAGTCCGTGCAGAGTGTTTCAAGGAGGTTCTCGTTTTCGATGAATTCAGAAGTCGTCCTCTCGCCCACCGCGGAGTCTGGCCGAAGGCCAGCGGAAGTTGGCGGATGTAAATCGAGGGCGATCTGGCTGGCGAAAGCCAGCGGAACCTCGTCTGAAGCTCGCGGAAGAAATTGGCTTTGTGAGAGGTCTACGTTGGCCACCGTGCCTTCTCCAGGCATGTAGAGCCAGCCGCATAAATGTTGCACGGTGTGCACAAAACGATACATGCCCCCCTGGAGGTCTCCACGCCTTCCCCGGAACAAGCTTTCTGGGGCCGGGACTGAACCACCACACACCCCAGGACAGCCCCGACTCAACCACGATAGGCCCCAACAGAAGATCCGGCCGGTGCCACGCAACACCCTAACAACGAGCGTCTAGAGAAGCCCCAAGATTGGCACAAGACGGATCAACGATCGCACGATCCGACTTCCCAATGGCCGCTTCTCATGTTTGATGTGCAGAACGTT